TTTCACTTTGTGTTTGTAGTTGACATTAAATGTCAAAGTCTGGCCACAGGCTGAAATCCCACAGCCACAAAGAGTCCGTCGGTGAACACAGTATAAATGACCTCACTGTATTTTAAGCCACCAGAAACAATCACTCACCAGCAAAGCACAGGGCTTCCAAAGCACTTGTATTGACAGCAGTTCTTCAGGTTACCAGAATACTCTAGAACAACTGCTCAAGGTGTGGTCTTTCCCGTCCAGGTAATTATAGGACTGTCTTACACCGATTAGCACTGGGATTTTCTCAATTGTTTCGGCTTTGGAGAAGAATGAAGGTTCGTTGTTCAGTGTGAAACCCGATCGTGGTCTTTGTCCTGGTGAATTGTAGTCCTCCACAGCCTCGGCCATCAGGAACAGAAGCCTGAGGAAACACTGTGAGAGACGAACAGCGCTCTTCGCGCCGCTCACACGACACGTGGGAGAAAAGGGTCAGACATGCCTGACTGGCTCTCAGTTTCGCCTGGTTTCTGGAAGGTGATGGCTTCTGCCCCAGTTGGCACTGAACCTGCTGGGCATCACTGCACAGTGTGCCTGCAAATGCTGTCCAGCTGGATACTTAGTGACCTGGATTACCTTGTGTTTGTCTTAACTGTGACAGTTAACCTAGCTCTCCTGGACCAGGACTGGACAGCATGCAGACACACTGACACTCCAGGACCAGGACTGGACAGCCCTGTTGTAGTGTGTCCGATATCCTGCTCTGTAAGCAGCTCAGTGTGTGAAAAGACCAGTCAAAGGAGGAGCTGAAAGAGTTGGAGGAGACAGTCTGGTCTTTCAAAATGACAATTCCAAACTTTGTGGATATATATTAAATTATAAGCAATTCTAAATTTATTTTCAATATATGGTTTGACTCTTGTCAGTCTGCTTCAACGTAATTTGAGTTTTAATACAGCATGTACATAAACAGCAGCTTCGTCCTGAAACCTGTTAATCCCAGTTAAATTACCTGTCTGTTCAGCAACATTTCTAAAATGTGTTGTGTGAAAGAAATGATTCATTTGGGCGTTTTTAATGATCATTGTGCAAATTCTCAGGGAATACAGCTGAGTTGAATTTTCTTTTTCTGCTTTTAAGCCACTGGAACACTGGAAACCACTGCGGAACCCATCAGTACGTACAGAGCTTTCAAAACATGCACATGCAGAATTCTGAACAGAAAGCTTACAGTAAAAAAATCCAAATTATTTAAAAAATACATCTAACTTCATCTGCAGTGAGTATAACTTTAGTTTCTTCTTTTTTAAGCCACGGCCCCACCGGAGACGACGACTACTGCAGCGCCCACTAGTAAGTGCAAAGGGTTCAGCGATAATACAACATTTCTTCAGTTTCCCGTCATGGTCCGGGAGAACTGCTCGGTCGGAGGTCTCTCGATTCACTCAACAAGGCACGACCGCATTTCTACTCCAGTGCCGCCTCGCTTTCCCACCGGCGCTCGCTCGGACCCCGCTGTGCGCTGTCGGGGCTCACTGGGAGCACCAAGGGCTTCTCTTGTGCTTTACGGCCGATTTTGCTTCTTTCGGCTTGTCTTTTCGCTGACACGACCGCGGCAGCAGCAGGTACAGCGCGACCAGGCACGACGTACTGTAGCGCGCCGTGCCTTTGGAGCGACTGAGCGCACTTCCCGTCTTGATTTTCAACACCCTTTACGTCTGGAAGAATTCTGAATAGAAACCATACTCTTCAAAACTGGAGACCTCAAACTTTATTCACTGTTAATGCTCATTTATTTATTTTTATTATTTCTCCAAGCCACGGCACTTCCAGACACCGCAGCGACCACTAGTACAAAGTACAAAACTATTCAGCGCCCAAAATATTGATTTTCTGTCAGGGAGAATTTTCGGAAGGATAAATTAAGAATAGTGGATAGACATCAATTTTTTTTTGCAGTGAATGAAACGCTTTATGTTCTTCTTTTTTAAAGCCACCTCGCCCCCAGAGACAGTGACTACTGCAGCACCCACTAGTAAGTGCAAAAACGTCTGCGCTGAAATATTTCTTCCGGTCTGTATTCTGAAGGGGGGCTACCCTCGAGGTGTTCTGACCTTTAAAAGCAGTTGATTCTCAGTGTGTCCTCAACTGTCGCAATTATGCGATTGCTACACTGATTTTGCGAAACATTCATAACATTCTGGACAGATAGCTGCGGTTGGTGTCAATTCGTGTTACTGTTTCTCTAGACGCCACTGCAGCAGCAGCCGTCTTCACCACTGAAGAGGACGGTAAGCGCTGGACCTCCTCACACAGCCAGGAGCGCGGTCCTGCCTCCCTGGGACCCGGGCCGCCACAAGCCGCAGGCTCGGCTCACAGCGCGGCTCCAGCGCGGCCAGAGGCTGCAGCTCAGCTCTGGGCTCAATGACGTCTCTTGTTTTTAAATTGCAGAGGAGTTTTCTACAGACGGCTTCCCCTCAGAGGCAGGTGAGTTAACCAGCATAGGGTCAAAATCTAAGGATGTCTCATAAGACCTTCAGAAGGGTTAGAAACAAGAGGAGCCATTTGACCGGTCCAGCTTGTTCAGTAGTAAGTAGTTGTTTGATACCTGGAATACCAGCTCTTTCTCGAAAGAAGCCAAACTAACGGCTTGTTTCACACTCCCACCACCCTATGTGTAAAGAAGTGCCTCCTGCTCGCAGTTTTAAATGCACTTCCATGTAGTTTCAGCTCGCACCCTCTTGTTCATCACACTCACACGGCTCTTTCTGGTCAATGAGCACGACTGCACTAGCTTCTTTTTCAGTAGTACAATCAGCAGACAAAAGAAGTGAAATTTCTGATGCACCAATCACATCTCAACTGTTTTCTCTTTTGATTTCTTTAGACACCGCCACCCTGATGCCCAGTAAGTACTGAGCCGTCAAGCAGAGTCGTTGCCTTGTCTTAAATCTCATACAGAGCAACACTTTTCCACCCTCCGTGAAACCGAATGCAATCTTGATTGTCCGTAGTCACAGAATAAGAAATATATTTAAATTCCAAGTGATAAACACGTGAACGCTGTTTAAAAAAGCGCAACTAGTTGATATATTCTGCTTTATAATCAACACACCTCATTTCGGGGTTCGGGGCTCAGGTCTGTGGAAGTTGTCCGCCTCCACGGGGTAGGAATCCCAGCAGGAGCAGGAACCACTCTGGACACGGCGCGCGCCTTTGATCACTGCCCCGGCGGCTCGTGGGAGACCCGCGCCGCCCGCGAGCCGCTGACCCTCGAGCTCGCAGAGTCCAGTCGGCCCCGGGCGCGAGCGTGCCTGAGCTCCTGTGCTTCTAATTTCCCACAAGCCCCTCGTGTCCCTGCCCAGCTGCTCGACTTTGTGGACCCTTCTCTGGGTGCCTCCTGCTTTACGGCTGCTCGTTCATTTGTTTTCTCCATTCGTTGAGTTGTACAATGGGAAAACACGAGACAATCAATTCTCATCCTCTCGATAAACATGACCTGTTGTAGGAGTGTGTAATGTTCTTTATTATTTCTTTAGCGACTACACCACCAGAAAACACTACAACACAGTATGGTGAGTGCCAGTGCCCTGCTTTAAACGTCATTTATTCCCTGAGTAACTAAAATTCACAAGATCTACACAGGCGAGGGGGCTAGACGGGAGTCGGGCAAAAAATACATTCAATGATAAGAGTGGGGAAATATCTGTGAAGTAGTGAACACGTAGCTGCAGCAGTGCGGTCAGCAGTGGTTTCCTCCGAGTCTCAGCGCCTCCTGTCTCGCCCGTCCCGCAGTCCCGCGGATGTACCCGTTCGGCTCCTCCGAGGGAGACGCGCTGAACCCCCGCTCGGACGACGGGAGCTCCCGGGAGATGCTCCTCTCCGCGGGGTTCCCGTTTTTCGGAACCACTCACAGGCGATTATTCGTAAGAGATTTTCATTCAAGTTTCATTTAATTGATATGACATTTCACCTTAAACACCATATACTGTATGTATGGGAACCTATTCTTTATTATAGTATCTTGATTTATGAGCAGTTCTGCTATTTGAGTTTGAACTGAGGGGTGAAGTGCTGGTGTTGGGAGAATGTGTAGTTCGTCCATAAGGAACTTCAGAGTAATTCTGCATGTTTACAGTGCTATACAGACAGTATAGCACTTTTACTGTAAATGCATTTTTGTACACATAAAAAATTATCTGAGCCAGAAACCTCACCTGTGGATCTTATATTCTTCTCAAATTAGAAAGTTTTGCCCTGTCCTCAATTTTTAATTGGATAATTGTCTGGTTTCAAATAATGTTTCATCAATAGTTCTGGACTGCAATGGCAAAGGTCTATATTTTGAATGCAGTCTACAGGTACATGGGGACAGCAGTGTGCAGTCAGATAAGATCCCTCTAGAGCTGTCTGCCATTGAACCAGGGCAGCCCAGCAATGGCGTTAACTTCTGCGCACACCGCTCCGTTCAAGACCTTTGCTGAAGCTGAGCCTGGAGCTCATCAGGGGTTATTTGTTTGGGTTTTCACTGTGTTAAAGCACTGCTGAATGAAAAGCTCTCCAACAGCCTTCCCTCCATGTCTTTATCCCAGGTGAACAACAACGGTTTCCTCACCTTCAAGAAGGACTGGTCCTACTACGTCCCTCTGCGTTTCCCCGCCCGCTCCGGCGAGGACATCATCGCTGGCCTGTGGACGGACATCGACAACAGAAACCAGGGGACGATCTCGTACCGCGAGGTCACCGAAGGGGACGTTCTTCTCCAGATCTCGCAGGACCTGAGCTACTACTTCTCTCTCCCCAGCTTCAATGCCAGCTGGGCTTTCGTTGCCACCTGGGACAGAGTGGGCCACTTCCCGGTCAGCTCAGCGGTAAAGAGCCCACAGCTCTCTCCTGTGCAGGGCCAGATCATGAGTCATGGCCTCCAGCCTCCTCAAGATCCGCGGGGGTGGACTGTCCCTTTCTGCATTAACAGCAAATTCCCAGGAATTCCCCACATGACGTATCTGCTTACAGAACTGCCTGCTTTATAGGTGGAAGCCACTTCATGTCAGAACATTGTAGAAAATACTGGGAGCAAGCTTGCCCTGGGGTTACTGCTCCTCTCCCATATACTGTGTGTTTTTCAGGAATCCACATTCCAGATTGTCCTTGTGTCAAATGGGAATCTCGGCTTCATTCTCTTCAACTACGACAACATCGCCCCTCTCCGAGGAAGTGTAGAGGTAAGGTCACCTGCCCACGGGGTTCAGATGGAGTTATCAGTTTGTTTTCTTGCTGGGGAGATGTGTTGGAGATTTAAATATGCAGAGAGACCCACACAGCCAGCTGTTCCACTGACACACCTTTGCCCTTTGCCATTGCACTCTCACTTGTCTCCTAACACTCAGGGTTTCCATTCCGAAACGTGGAGGGCTGGCATGTCTGTAGGTTGTCTGGGTCTCTAAAGGATTAAAGGACCTGAAGGGCTGGGAGAAGCTAATCAGTTCAGTGAAGCTCATGGCAAGCTGATGAAGTCACTTA